CAAGCTTCGATTTGCTTGTTGTATGTTGTTTTCAACCCAGATCTGCTCAATAAGGCCATTTAAAGCTTCACGCATCTTCTTAGCCCTAGCTCGCGTGACTGGACCTCCTTGGCTGTGTAACGGATCACATGACGTAGTAGATATGATGAGAACCCCAAAGAGAACAATGAGACCCACAGCACGACAAGGGATTTCTAAACTCCAAGAAAGCTAAATCAGGTTTATAATAGGACCTTGACCCGTTGTTTATGTCGCAACAAGAACCAGAGGTATAAAGTTGGTTGACGCCACATCCTCGAACGATTAAGAACGAGAATGATAAGTCAGATTAGAACGCCACAAGAATAATCTTGATAAGTTCTGAAAAGCTCTGAAACGAACCAAAGAGAAAAGTCTCTCAAAATCTCAGATTCAATAATCCTCTCTCTATTAGGGTTACAAGCCTTTTAAATAGAGAAAACAAATCCTAATCAGAATAGCCCTAAGTCCTAAACCTAATAACCACGAATTGGGCCTTAAATAACTGAATGTTCAGCCCAAAATAATATAAAAAGACATGAAAATCACTAAAAGTAACCTAAAGTAACATGAAATATCAGTTTGTTACAAATTGCGACAGAATTGAGAGATTGACGCAAACTGTGTAATTTAGCACAAATGACCTCAATTAAGCTTCTCTTTAACCCGAATAATGTTTATCATGCCTTGACAATCATCCAAGCTTTGATTTACTTGTGCATGTTGATATCAACCCAGATCTGCTCAATAAGGCCATTTAAAAGCTTCTCGCATCTTCTTAGCTCTAGCTCTCTTGACTGGACCTCCTGGAATATATGTAATGGCTCTCTTGACGTGGTACATGTGGGGTCATCTTGATTCCCATCAAGATATGTTGTTGTCTTGATTCCCATCAAATTGTCTACCATCAATAAAAATATTCACATCTCTAAAAGTCATCACCCCTCCTAAAGGGGTGTCCGCATGCAGTTCAAGATTAGAGATGTCAATAGTAAAACTTGTTTCCTGATATAGGATCAAGCAATAAAAGTATGTGATGCACTCGAATCAAATAAAACATATGCATAATCAAAATTGACAAGCAAGGTACCTGTGATTACGTCTATAGCTGCAGCTTTCTTATGAGTCAACATGTGAACTCTCGCCTGTTGGGCTCTTATCCTAACCTAAACAATTTGTTGCTGAACGCCACAATTAATGGAACCTTGATGAGATGTAATCTGAGTACTTTGGGCCCTAGTGATGGGAATCAAGATGACCCCACATGTACCACATCAAGAGATCCATTACACATTCCAGGAGGTCCAGTCACAAGAGCTAGAGATGCAAGCAGCTTTAAATGGCCTTATTGAGCAGATCTGGGTTCATAACAACATGCAACAAGTAAATCGAAACTTGGATGATTATCAAGGCATGGTAAACATCATTCAGATTCAAGAGAAGCTTAATTGAGGTCATTTATGCTAAATTACACAGTTTGCGTCAAAATCTTGCAATTCTGTCGCAATTTGTAACAAACTAATATTTCATTTTACTTTAGGTTACTTTCAGTGATTTTCACATTTTTTGTAATATTTTGGGCTGAACATTCATTTATTTGAGGCCCAATTCGTGGTTATTAGGATTAGGGCTTAGGGTGTTAGTTTCCTATTTTGGTTAGAATTACTTTTCCCTATTTAATAAAGGGCTTGTAACCCTAATTGGGGGGAGCGATTGAATCTGAGTTTTTGAGACTTTTTCTCTTTGGTTCATTTCAGAACTTTATAGAACTTACCAAGATTATTCTTGTGGCGTTCTAACCTGACTTCTCATTCTCATTCTTAATCGTTCGAGGGTGTGGCGTCAACCAACTTTATACCTCTGGTTCTTGTTGCGTCATAGACAATAGGTCAAGGTTTCTACCTTTGGTTCTTGTTGCGACATAAACAATGGGTCAAGGTCCTATTATAAACCTGATTTGGCTTTCCTGGAGTTTAGAAATCCTTTGTCGTGCTGTGGGTCTCATTGTTCTCTTTGGGGTTCTCATCATCTCGGTATCAGAGCATCAGATCCCTAAATCGGGTTTGCGTATCTTTAATTTTCAGTTTTTATCTTAAAAAAAAAAAAAATTCAGTGTCATTTTTCTTTTTCTTATTTTGCTCTTCTGAATCTGTGTT